GATTTCAGCACAAAATGGAAATCGTAATCTCAAAATTATATTATAATAAAAAGATGTAAAGAGAATTTGATAAAATGTATTAGGGAAGATTAAAAAGTTCGGGAACATTTTGAAAAATTAAGTAAAAAAAACTTTACAGATCTTCTTGAAATTAATTTTCTCGTGCAATTTAAGAAGAAGAGAATTTAGAAATTGTAAATTTTGACTCGACTCAACATCATTAGAGATTCTGTATTCATAAGTTTCCCCAAGTTGGTTCCCTGAAATAAAAATTAGTGGTTTTGCAACAAGTTACACCCTGTATTTAAATTATGGAGATATCTCGCGTTTCTTACCGTACGATATTCCGTTATTAAGCGAATAGACTGAATGCGCGCGGTAAAAGAAGTCACACGGGACACGGCTACCCTCGTTAGACAGGAATGTCTAATAATAGTAATAAAATGAAGCGGAGAGATGTACTTAGATGCCTCTCGAGGAATGCTAACGAGACGGTCGCCCCGTCTCCATTTGCAATTCCGGTATACTTTGGGAAACGTCGGGAATACAATACAAGCCAAGTTACGCCGCGCTCGCTCGCAGAAGTCACTACACCAAGGCAATCCGGATTCGCGACGAGGCCACGGACGCGGCTAATTGAATTCAATCGAAAATGCTTGCCTAATTGCAGCGTCAAGCTCTCTCGTAAGCCTCGTCTTCGAAAGTTCGCTGTTCCTCCTCTCAAAAGCTCACCCGTCCTCCGCCGCGCGCGCCCTCGCCCGATTCGCCTTCCATCTTGAAAGTGGGACTAAACTTTCAAGTTTATAGAACTGAATCTTAAGCGGCCGACCCTCCAATTTAAACTTGGTCCGCGATGCTATCGTTCTGCCCTTGAAAGCGGGTTACCTTTGCTAGCGCGGAGATACAGTCGTGAATCTCTCCGAATCGTACGTCTTCGCCGATGGCTCATGAATCATTTCGACGCGGCGACCCCGCGACGTGTTTTTCTAACTAGATGTGCGCTGAAGTTCTTTTTCGTATTACTGTTACGTTTACCATTCAACATCTATTGTAAAATATTTCGCAGACTGATTTTTTAACAAACTTGAAGTCGAATTTTTTTAGCGAATGAAAATCATTATTTGTCACAATTTTAAACTTTTCGTTAAAATTTTGCATGCAATATATACCTGTCAAACATTCTTTTATTCATTCATATTTCTTCTTTATCCTCAATATGAAATATCTTCGTAACTTGTCTGCCGTGAAAATGTTTGATGTCCATACAGTGTTAACCATTTGTCCTGGTTACAACAGTAACAAATATTGATGCACCAGTGTTATAAATATTTAAACAACACAACACCGATTTCAGCGAAGCGTAATTATTCAAATTTTTGTCCATTTTTCTTTCTCTACAAAATTACTTTTTTAATTCTGTCGAATCTATTATTCTTAATTCATTTTTAATGACTCCTCGCGATCGCGATACTGGCAAAAAATAAGCCGTTTGCGAAACGAACAGAGCCTGATCTCTGCTCTATACGATTTGCCGCAACTGATTTTTCGCGTACACGTCCGCTCTGTCAACAGTCTGATGGAGCGGGGAAAGACTCCAAGAAAAACGAACGATCACCGAGCTAGAAATGAATCATCGGCCTCGGCTCTCGCAGCGCACTGCCGCCCTCGATTAATTCATCGTCGACCACTACGTTATTACGGTCGACGGCCGACAGATTGGTTGGCGTGAAGGAAAAAAGCTTTTACGCGCGGTCGTTTTTTTTTTCTTCGGGACGAACGATCGCTCGGGACCAGTATGGGATCGCGGCGATGAGAACTTAATCGCCGCAGGGAGAGAGGTCGGGACCTCCACGTGGTGCGTCCACGACAATTCGGAATTTTACAGGCTACTCGCGACAGAAATAACCCGGGGCACCATATGAATGCAGCCTGACAGCGCGGCATGTAAACACCTTGTAGTCGGCCGCTGGCCCAGGCTGGAAAACAGATACTCGTACGTTAAAAAGTTTCCAGATACATTTTCAGAAGGAAGGAGAAGACCTGGCTACTTAATATTCAGCGTTCGGCATCTCGGTAATTAAATCTCGAGCTGAAATTCCGCGGAAGTAAGATCTGTATTTAAGTTACAATAGCTTCAATTTGCGCCATTCATTCCTAATTGCTTATAATTCAAGAATTATCGAGCTTGCTTTCAAAGTTAAATGTGAAAAGAAATCTACTTCCGATTGATCCGCGAAGGATAAAATTCTGCGAAAATTATTTTAGATATGCTAAATTATTATATTATTAATATTTTATTTATTGCTATGCGCATCGATATCGCCGTAGCGAAACAGCGAATTTTTTCGCGGCAAACTGAAACTTTTCGCGTTTAGTGTACCTCTGGAAAACGTTCTATTCACGATCGTTCGACAAAGTTTTCGAAGAAGCTCGCGTTTTTATGCTGCACACCCTGCATTTACGCGTCGCGAAATAAATTTCCTTGTCGTGTTCTCGCGTTTACTGCTTCGTTTACTGTTTGCGGTCGCGCACAGCAGCTTCAGAAGCGGTTTACGAAGTGCGGATTTACGGATCTCGCTCCTTTGAATCCTCTGTGACGCGCTTGTGCGACGATCATAAGGGGATTTTATCGGTACGACGTTGCGTCCTCGTTGCACATAATGGGAAATGTTACATCGTAGGATGTCGTTTATGTCTGAACAATTTTGAGCGTGACTACTTGAATGTCTATATTGGCTGTCTAACTCATAATGGCAACAATTTCGCGTGTGCGGAAATAACATTCTCCTTTCAAATCCTCGAATCGTTCTAAAGAATTCATTTATCGATATATATTATAGAGTGATTCAGAAATGTTGCTTTATAAAACGCTTTAAAAATAATTTCTTTTTTCTATTTTTTTTTATCACAACATAATATTTTAAAGTTAGTATTTTAAGTAAATTTGTATGAAAATATATACGAAAATTAGAGAGTTAAAAAAATGTTTATAAATATATATTTAGTCGTATTGAGAGAGGAAAAATATCGAAAATAGTATTTTTCTCGCCGCAAAGAGTCGCTGATATTGTGCTTTTGTATCCACATTTTCACTGAGATGTAGGTTTCCCGCTTCGCGATTAGAGATCACCGAGAAGGAAAATAAGAAGATTAAGTGAAGCACAAACGGCAGCCCCATTGTTGCGGAACTCGATTTCGCGACAGAGAAAGGAAGATTCTAATTGTACTCAACATACAGGGACTACGGTGTGTAGCGTGATAAAAGGGTCGGCAATAAAAGGTAGCCGGACGGTTAACGCGGAAGAAGTATTTTTGAGAGAGACGTTGTTATTGTCCGAGCCCTTGCGGGGGAATGTCTCAATGTCCACCTCCGTGCAGGGTAGTTGATAAATGCACGCGCAATTTGACGCGGTCGACTTGGGCCCTTGCCTTTACGATCTCGTGCTCGTGTCCACACGATTTGCAACATACCTCTGCGTTCCCTCTGCGCGTTTAGGTTTTACGACGGTTCTCGTTTCTCTGCAAGTACAGACATTGAGGAAGCAGACGAAAGTGGATGTCTCTTTTTGTTGATTGTTGACGAATCCGTGGAAAATTATATACTTTTAAGGAAGTATTTTTTGTTTTTGCAATTTATGAGATTTTCCCACGTGCCATGGATAATTCCGATATTTTATTTAGAGGATTACTGCGGGGTGGGGGGAGGAATTATTTTTCCGCGCCACATATTTGAGCGAAACGCGTTCGCGCAGTAGCCAGA